TCACGAGACACAGAATAATCTCCTAGAGAACATGGATTCTGTGGCTAGATTTTATGTATTACGATATCCATGAGAGCATCGTTCACAGTATTTGCCCCAAAGGAAAAATGACCAGATAGTCATCAACCGTAAAGTCAGTGAATGAATGTCATTATGCATCCACTAAGTCACCACATGGCAATAACAAGGACTGAGCTACGACATCGCGCAAAGATATAGTGACCCTCGCCGGGGATGCTAACCAAGGGAAGCGAGACACAAAAGGCTTCGTGGCCGTTCACGGAAACAGTAAAACAAGCCAAACTGAACCACGAATGTTAAAAGTATGAAGAAAAGCAGTGAGTCCTGGCAGCCATGCAGAGGACAGAGAGATTGGAATGAAGGCAAACTCTTTACAGAAGTGTGGTTTACAAATATTTTGATTCCCAAAACAGACAAGCATATGAGAGAGAGTCGAGTCAATTTCACTAAAAACTAGTGGGGAAAAAAATGTTAAAAAAGAAAATTACAAATCAAAATCCAAAAGACAAAAGAGCAAGCTACTTGGTTACTACAAAAACACAAAGCAGAGTTCAACACAAGTAACTAACTCTCCTAAGCAGACACCGTGTGAGAACCAACCGGCTTTACCTAGTACACCTGAAGACACACATGTTCTATGACCTGCAATTCTGTGCCTGAGGGATCCCTAGAAAGAAGTTGCATACACATACACACACACACACACACACACACACACACACACACACACACCCCAGATGTGTGTAAGAGGGATTCCAGCACTGTTGTCTCAGAGAAAGCTTAAACACCAGATTATCATCAAAGAATGGAAAGATAAGCTGTGGTACATTCCGGAAATAAAATACTACACAGCAATTAAAAACAACAAACCACACTATACACAATCAAATGGCTGAATCTTAACAAGCACAAGAAAAACAAGTTTAGAAGACTATCTGTATAGACCCACACACCTACACATAACTAAGAATAATAAAAAAAATTAATATTCTTAAAAACTGCGAAGCGAGTGCTAAGAATATATAAAGCTGAAAATAATGATAACATCGGAGGTAGAGGGTGAGAGGAGAAAAGTGAGAATGGGAAGGATTCAGAGGGTGACGGTGCTGGTGACAGAGTGAGAGACGTGGTAGGGACTGGGCAAGGTTTTGTTTTTAAGATGCCGCTCCAAAATCAGCTTTTTCCAATGGAGAAGCACTGGGCAGTTCAAAATGTAGAAAATACTACAGGACAAACAACCTGATTTCTTCAACAAATTAATCACAAGAAGGGAAAGGGAGGGTGGGGGATAAATTATAGATTAACACACATACTGGTATTCAGATCATAAATTAACCAACATTTGGACTGGAGAGATGGCTCAGTGGTTAATCACTTGCTGTGTAAGCAGGGGGACTCGGAGTTTGGAGTCCCAGAATACACTTAAATGCTGAGTGGGCATGGCAACCCACTTTTCACTTCTGCCTTGAAGACAAGAGAATGGGGATCCCCAAAACAAGCTGGCTCTGGAGATCAGCCGTGTCAGTCACTCTGAGCTTCATGAAGAGACCCAGAAGAGCGATGGAGGATGATTCTGACATCAAGTTCACGCCCCCACATGCATGTGGACTCTCATGCACTCGCCCCGGCCACACACACACACACACACACACACACAAAATAGAAAATTAAAAAATATAATTAACCAACTGCTACAAAAACAGGACATAATCAGGCAGACTTCAACACTGAGCGAATAACAGCAGAACTTCTTTGAGATGTGAAAATTGTATTGTGCTTTTTAAAAGACTTAATTTTTAATGATCTGTATAGATAGTAAGTAAACTGCAAGTGAAATGATATCTGGGGTGCGTTTATAAAATAAACCAGGTTGAGGGGGGAGAGGTGTGGAAGGAGAGGAGGATGAGCTGGAGTTAGCTCGTCAAGCCTCGGGCTCACACACACCATGCATTGTACTGTTCTCACTTTTTGCAGTCACTTAAACTTTACTGAAAAAGAAAGTATAAAGGGTCAGAAAACAGGGAGGCAAGGGAGGCAGGCAGAGATCCAGAGAAGTAAGATTGTGCCAAAGATGCTTTAGTGGGTACATTTGTAAATTCTCAAGAGCTTATCTCTAGGCTTACATAATCACTATTTCTTTTTTTAGAAAAATGTTATAAATTTATCATCTCCAGATGGAAAGAATACTTGCAATTTCTAGTCTCCTTTTGACTTATATGTGTTTTCTAACCATTTCTGTGAGGAACGCATGAGAATCTTGATTCAAACACTGTTGAAAAGGACATCAAAAAGATTGTCAAAGATGCAGAGCCTCCTGTCTCTCTTTGATGCTGAAGAATGAATCTACATTTCTTAGCTGTTTAAGAATCACAGCTTGCAAAGGGCTGTTGTGACTTCCCAAAACTGTCATTTCCACTCAGGAAAGCTAGGGCGTGTGGAGAAATGGAGACTTTGGTCATGTATGTGGTCAAGAAAGCTCAGTTTCTCTCTCTGCACCAGAGGAACACCCTTGTCAGAAGCCAACAAGGTAGGCTCCTGACCTGAGAACTGGGATAAGCCTCTATCTATCCTTTGAGGGCTCGCTTCTTCAACTGTGGATTGTGACCCCACATGGCTTCACATAACAAACGGGGGAGCTACAGAAAAATCTAGTAATAAACGGGTTTCAACCACACAATGGCCAAAATCAAACGCACAATGAACCTGGGGTGTTTCTGTCAGCCCTCACCATGTTACTCCGACACTTCCCTGAAGTCTTGATTCTGAACATACAGCACACACATTTAACACCACGTACACCGTCCCAATGCTGCCAACGAATACTGCCCGAAACATGTGGGCTCAGACGACTGTACTTTATAACTGCAGTGATGTCCTGCACAAGTTTTCTGCTCTTATAAAAACAATGGTTGAATTATAGTCTTCTGCCACCACTCCTCAGCAGGTAAGCATTAAAACCAGTATATGTTTGGATTGTGTTAGTCTTTTTTTTTTTTTTTTTTTTTTTTTTTGGTTTTTGAAGACAGGATTTCTTCATGTTGCCCTGGATTCGCTGTGTAGACCAGGCTGACCTTGAACTCACAGAGACCCACCTGTCTCTGCCTCCTGAGTATTAAAGGCATGTGTCACCACACATAGCTAGGCTGCTTAATTTTAAAAACTTCTGTTGCAGTTACTGACTTGAGCTTTTTTTAAATATTGCTTAGTGGGGGCCAGAGAGATGGCTCAGTGGCTGAGTGGTGTATGTTCTGAACACACACTGCTCTTGTTCAGGACCTGTATTTGGGGCCCAACACCTACACAGGGCAGCGCCTATAACTCCAGTTCCCGGGGATCCAAGAGCCTCATGTCCTCAAAAGGTGTCTGCTTGAATAAACTCACACAGGCACACACACACTCACATACAAGAAAAATAAATAAAAGCATCTTTTAAAAGCACAAATACAGAAATTGCAAAATTAATTCTGTCTTGGGATTCGGATAGGATGTCCAACACTTTAGGAAGTAGCCCCAAACACACTTCTGCCATTTTTTCTTAAGTGTTTATGTGCAGCAGGGTTCTCAGCACTGATGATTATAAAATCAAAATATTGATCACCTCTGAAAAAACACTGAAGGTGTTCTGCGTCCCACAGAATCAAAGAGTCAGCCATGATTGAATTCTTGGTGTGAAAATAAACAAGTATACACATCCCATTAGAATACGAGTACGGTTTCAACTGTAATAAACGGCAAAATTATATGGACCCCAGAGAACAGTTGTAAAATAAATTTATGATTATTGTAAATGTTTGGGTTTTATGTCTACTTTATAAACCAGTCATATAAAAATTTCTTGGGCTAAAAATAGGTCACAAGTTGAAAAAAAAAAAAAAGGCTAAGAAGCTCTGGTTTAAATCACCCATGAGGGATGGCTCCGCAAACATCAGTGGGGCAGACCATCAGAGGGGCCTTTAGCAAATCCTGGTAGAACTACTTATCTTTTCTCCCCAGACAAATGTCTATTCAACCAGGTCTGTCTGAGTCAAGGAATCTGAGAGTTCTAACGGGACACAGACTTTCCGTGGGTTTAGCAGTTGGGATAAATGACAGACGGCATCCATTATAGACTTCACTGTGTGTCAAGTACAGCTCCGCGTTAAACAGATGCCACCAAATCCACTCTTCCCAGACGCCGGTGCAATAATGTGCTCGTCATCCCTGCTTCACAGATGAGGCCAAGGAAGACAGAGAAGAAAACTGCAATGTCATGGGAAGGTTAGAAATCTCTTTGAGAGTCAGGGCTAGCACAAAACTCAGGCAGCTGGACTCTTACCTAGCAAAATATGAAGCTACTCTCCAAGTTTAAGTTAAGTATAACAAGCAAATATGTCACTCTGAGTCACTCCCTACAGAAGATAGCCTTAAATCCAAATGACTTTAAGGGCCTTTCATGTGCTAGACACAACCAAGGACACAGGATCACCCAATACCCAAAATAACGCTGTGACGGGCCACTCACTTACCCAGCTGAGTACAAACAGGAGTCAATCTTCCTTTCCCTCTAAGTAGGATACACCACAATGGACTCCCAGAAGTCAGGGCAATGGTTTCCACATCACACCTGACCTCTTCATGATGAGAACCTTATTAAGTGGGTCACGGTCTAGTCCAGTACTTCAGTGTTTAGCCCTAAAATCCATCCATGGAGTACTGTAACCCGACATCTTGTCTCTCAGCAGGTAGAGGCGGAGAAAGGGGTGGGTGGAGCAAGCTGGCTAGCCAATCACTGTGTGCCGGATACTTGTCTCCAACACTCTGCTCCCACCGGCTGAGACAGACATCACCATGAACCCAAACTTCTAAGAGTTTGCCTCTGAGCTCCGGAAGCATAATAAACAGGATAGTTCACTCATACTGAAGGCAACGGTAAGCATGAGATATCTCAATACACATATACAAGGAAGATGGACACACACACACCCCGCCCCAGTACTCACAGTTTCACAGTTCAAACATCGAGTTTCGTTAGTGAGTGTTCCCTGAAAAATCTCGTGGACCCAGGTGAGTTCTGGCTTATTATTCTCTGCCGGTTCGTTCATGTTGCCATTTTTTAATTTCCCGTTTTGTTTTTCCTGTTTCTTCTCTTCCTGCAGGATGTCCGCAATAGTGTTTAGCAAATAATTTAAAAATTCGTGAGCGTCCTGCTGCATGTAGTTATCAAAGAGATCTGGAAAGGAGAAGGCCATCATTTCACACTCTGCAGCTTGAAGAGCGAACAGACATTTTTAGTTTCCATGACGAGCTTCGGTAACTATATCCAAAGACTGGACAGGCATAGCATAGAAATGTATTTCATCTCTACTGTGCAATTACAAACGAGTAACTTCCAAAAAGAATCATTCTGTTCCGTTTCCTACCACCTACCAAAAACTAATATCCCTTATCTCCCCACCGTCGTGTATAACAACGATCCAAAGTTTAATTCATTCTAGAAAAGAACCAAAGTTACGAGACAAAAACCTTGATTAAATATCTATTGGTTTTGCCTGTACGCATGCCGTGTGTATGTTAGAGGGAGGAGTATTCTTCTGAGCAGGTGCACACTTGTGCAAGCGTGAGTATTAAGAGGGCAGAGACTGACATTGGCGGCTTCCTCAGTCACACTCCACTTTATCTGTTAAGAAAGGGTCTCTCCCTAACTCGTTAACTCCAGCACACACTGATTGGCTAGCCAGCTTGCTCCACCCGCCCCTTTCTCCGCCTCCACCTGCTGGGATTACAAGCAGGCTACCACACCTGCCCTGCTGGCCCGCCCCTTTCTCCGCCTCTGCCTGCTGGGATTACAAGCAGGCTACCACACCTGCCCTGCTGGCTTTGAGCTCTGGAGATCTGAACACTAATCCTTTCACTTGCTTCCGTACTTTATCTATTGAACCCCTAAATAGCGATTCTTAATATGTGACCCCCAATGACTAATTAGTCATTGAGTCATCTTACCATAGCAACTAAATTCTCTTCCCGAGAGTCATATTAAACCTTAAGACCAGCCTGGAAGACTCTTACATGAAAGATGAAAGAAATGTGAAGTATATGTGAACAGATAACGTTCCCATAGTGCTCCTAAAACAAATGCAAATGCCCTAAGTCTACTGCTGCCACTGCTATTGGGACAGGCAAGCAGCTAGGAGCCCCTACTGCTAGTCCGACTGTTCACCACCGCTCACCACTGACCACAACCGCTCACCACTGCTCACAACTGATCACAACCGCTCACAATCACTCACCACTGCTCACAACTGCACTGGGATGGTTGGTTTCCTTCTTTATTCAAATCACGTTTATTCTAGCATACATACATATTACAACTTCTAAAGCTAGCTATCAAATTAAACAAAACTTTGTAAAACAGACACTGGGTTAACCATGTAAATTCATTGGAGTAAGGCGGAATTTAGGGCAGATACAAGTTGCTACATTAAATAGTCCAATAACCAGAAAAATCAGTGTAAATCTTCTGGAATACACAACATGTTTCTATCACCCGCCCCCCCCCCCCGCCAAAAACAAAAAACAAAAAAGATACTGACTGGAAACCTTGCCACTGACTTCTGCAGTATTACTCGCCTCACCCAACCAAATTAACTCAGAGGAGGAAGGATAGGTTCCAGAGGGTTCTACTCTTGCTTGCTCAGTCCCAGTCACTGGAACAATGGAGTATGGCAGAAGCCATCCACCTCACGGTGCACAGGAGACACAGAATGAGACAGGGGCTAGGAACCAGATGTCCCCTTCAAAGGCTCACTCCTGTGATCTGCTTCATAGCTACAGCCCAGATCCTAAAGTTTCCATGACCTTCTGGAACAACATCACCAACGGAGAATCAACAACCCCAGACTGATCATCCACGATCCTATGGGGACATGTGTCACCCAAACTATAGCACCCTGTTACTTCTAACACGCCAGAGCCTCGTTAGGTAACCTGTGTTTGCTGCTTTCACAGTTCATTAGGTAGTGCTGCTCTGCTCAGGGAGTGCATCACCACGTTTAATCCTAGGAGGATAGCACTCAAAAGTCTGTCTTAGACAGTTTTATTTTACCCTTACAATAATCCTTTCCCAGAGTGCAGCGTATTAAAAAAAGAAGAGAAAGAAATCATTCTAAATGAGATGTCAAATATTAATTTTTAAATTTATATTTGTTTTTTGTTTCACATATAATGAGAAAAGAAGAAATATCTTCTGCTGAGCAGTGGTGGTGCACTCCTTTAAGCCCAGCACTCCAGAGACAGATGCAGGGACAAGGAGGATCTCCATGAGTTCAAGGCCAGACTGGTCTACAGATTAAGTTCCAGAATAGCCAGGGCTATAAAAAGAAACTCTGTCTTTTCTTTATCCTCTCCCCTTTCTAATTTAATTAATTAATTAGTTATCTGATTAGTTAATTAATTAAATTATAAAGAGAGAGGATAGATTAATTAACTGATTAAGTTCCACGTTTGTAACAGGATCTAAATGTGTAGGTAGCCTGCCCCCACTCTCTAATTTATGTGTGTGGGGTGTCTATGCAATTGTATATGACACATAAGATATTAGATCTTCTGGAACTGGAGTTACAGGTGGCTATGAGCCACTCAGTATGGGTCCTGAGAACCAAACTCGAGTCCTCTGGAAGGGGACAGTACACTTCTAAAATGCTCACTTTTAACTACTGAGCCATCACTCCAGTCCCTGAAACTTCTTTTCTTAAAAAAACAAAAACAAAAAACAAAACAAAACAAAACAAAACCACTGACTGACCATACTTACTCTCCCTAAAAAATTAAATGAGCTTTTCGTTTTGAGGCTACACAGAACCACTGCTGTTCCTCATTCCAAAGCCTGGAACCCACGATGACCGCAGCAGAACCAGGGCCGTTCCCCTTCTCGCAGCCACTAACCCATGATAACCTCAGCAGAACCAGGGCCGTTCCCCTTCCTGGAGCCACCAACCCATGATGACTGCAGCAGAACCAGGTCGTTTCCCTTCCCACAGCCGCTAACCCATGATAACCTTAGCAGAACCAGGGCTGTTCCCCTTCCCGGAGCCACGAACCCACGATGACCGCAGCACTCACCGTTCTCTTTCCTCAGCCTTGAAATGAACTTCTTTGGTGGGATAACGCCAACCTTCTTCTTCTGCGTGGCAATGCTGTGGAAAAGGTCTGCCAGGCATGTCAACAGGTTTTCCTTCTTTTTTTGTTGGGCCTTGTATGCCAACACATTCTCCCGGAACGGCCGGCAGAAGTACAACGCTTGAAGCACAGAGTTACAGTAGCATGTGTTTCCAAACTGCCAAAGCACAAGAGGAGTGGCGGGAATCATTGTCTGGGCAAGCCACCTCTGGACAGGGGAGGAGAGGGAGGTGCCAGGATCCAGGAACCTGCCAATCCCTGTATTCCCATATTGGAGCCAAACATGTCAAGTTAGGTAATGGTGGATCTGATCAACAAGGACAGGAACAAAAGGGTACAGCAGTGGTTCTCATCTTTCCTGATGCTGCGACCCCCTGATGATGTGGTGACACCCTCAACTATAAAACTATTGCTGTTGCTACTTCATAACTGTAATTTTGCTACTGTTATGAATCATAATGTAAATATCTGTGTTTTCTGATCATCTTAGGCAACCCCTGTGAAAGGGTAAATGGAGCTTCAGAGGGGTCACAATCCATAGGTTGAGAACCACTGGGTCATATAGCCATCCACCCACACCCCCTCCTTAGCTATAGTGTTACTTGACATGCTTGAGGCAAGAGGACCATTGCAAGTTGGAAGCCATCCTGGACCACACAATGAGTTCCAGGCAGCTTGAGCTATACAGGAATGACCTGTCTCACAAAACAAAACAAAACAAAACTCTCCCATGACTATAAAAATCAAAATCAAAAAGAAACTGAAGGGGCTGAGGATATAGCTCAAGAGGAGATGTGTGTGTGTGTGCGTGTGTGTGCGTGTGTATGCATATATGTGTGTATGTGTGTATGTGTGTGTATGTGTATATGTGTGTATGTGTGTGTATATGTGTGTATGTGTGTGTATATGTGTGTATGTGTGTGTGTGCATGTGTGTGTATGTGTGTGTATTGTGTATATGTGTGTGTATGTGTGTATATGTGTATGTGCATGTATGTGTATGCATGTGTATGTGTGTGTGTATGTGTGTGTCTCTCTCTGTGTGTGTATGTGTGTGTATATGTATGTGTGTGTATGCATTTGTGTGTGTATGTGTCTGTGTGTGTATATGTGTGTGTACATGCATATGTATATGTATAGATACATGCACATACAATGGAGGGAGTGGGTGGGTGTGTATTTAAGGAGTTAAGAACCGCTTGCTCAAACAAAGCCTTTAAGGAACAGAGTTTGTTTAGGGCTACAGTGGCTGCCGCCCCACAGTACAAAATCTCACCTACTCCAACGCAACAGAGCAAGAAGCCCCTCCATAGGCGCCCCTCCCTTCGTCCCGCCTCTTTTCTTCTAAGTAACCCTGCCTTGCGTTTTGTCCAAGGTGGCAATTGTCCCAGTGTGGTATCACACAAGTCCCTGGTTCCTCTGGAATCAGATTAGGGCCCACACAGCAACAATCTATCCCTTTCCAGTCACAGACACTGAGAATTTGACCTCAGACGGGAAAGTCATTATCTCACTGGTTTCTAAGTGACTGGAAGCCCAACGCTGATGGAGGCCCCAGCTGAGACCTGTATTTTAAAGCTGTTCCCACTCAGTAAATGAACAGGAAGAAATTCCAAAGAAATAACAAGATCCATAGCCTAGATTACAAAATGCTGTAGAGGTCAAATGGAACATGGGCATCTCTGAAATGGCTTTGTGGCTAGGACATCTTCAGTGCCTATATATTCTGATTCTCCCTGACACAATCATGTAGCAGGTGACAAACCTTTCACACAGAGGCTGGCACCTTCATAAATGACAAGGAATCATAAATGAAGCTATTAATAGATACAGTTCTCATAATTCTTCTACAAGATAAGCAGCAGACTTCATTCTCTCTCCGTAGTCTACATTTCTATATTCCTTAGTTAGAGAAGAATTCCCAGGAATTGAATAACTCTCTTCAGAGAGTTAAGTGGATGTCCATGCACGATTGCTAAAATAAATTGTATTAAAATTCGAAGACTGAGTTTTGCCAATATGATATCCTGTATTTCCAGGGCCTATGTGGCCTTCCTCTGTTCAGTTTCAATATCTTTTTTTTGGGGGGGGGGGTTGGTTTCTCGAGACAGGGTTTCTCTGTGTAGCCCTGGCTGTCCTGGAATTCACTCTGTAGACCTGGCTAGCCTTGAACTCTCGAACTCAGAAATCTGCCTGCCTCTGCCTCCCAAGTGCTGGGATTAAAGTCGTGCGCCACCACCGCCTGGCTGGTTTCAATATCTTTTACCCAGACACCCTACAGTCACAACAGCTCTGATCTAGTAGTCAACTCTAAAGAAATAAAAGGAATATTTTTCAAGTGTCTACAACATACCTTGGCCTCTCATCAGGGCCTCACATAGTGGCACTCCCTGACTCCCCTTTCTCTCATTCATTCTTCACTGACACTCAAGAGGGAGAAGCCACTGCACCCACAACTAGTAAAAATGGGAATGAAGGAGCAGAAAGTCCAAGTTCCTCGCCTGGGATTGATCACACAACCAGTTAACAGTAGAGGGAGAATTCAAATGTAGCTCTTTCCTTTATACCTAATGTAGCATTTAATTGCAAAGAACGTGTCCAACTTCTCCAAGCACACCCCACAGCAGGATACTGGCCGACTGGCAGAGCAGCTGCTTCAGAAACCCACGTGTCTGGGAGCTAACACACTTGGCACCTAAAACTTCTATTCAATAAAGATACAGTGACGTAGAAACTCCATAGAGGTGATGAGTGACATCACTTTAGCACATGGCTCTGCTATCAAGGAAGCAGAACAGTAAGTAAAGCCAGACGCTAAGGGGCTCCCGCCTAGCAGGAAGAAAACCAGTGTTTCGGAACAGTTTCCTCCAAGATTGAAACTCTCCATCTGTTAGAGAAGCTCCTTACATAGGAAAAGTGAAAAATCTCCAAATAGTTTCAGGAAGTCCCTGAAACTGACCAGATTCACTAGGCCCCTCCCTGTCAAAAGTAAACAGCTAAACTACAAAGAAGACTCTAGGAAGAACAAAAGCTGCCAAGAAGGCTCAGACTGGAACAGCTGTGTGGAAGAGGCAGAAACCAGTTGAGCTGCTTGGAAGAGGTTTAGACTAGGTGTCACTTGGAAAGGACACTCTCCACCCTGCTGAGCTGGCTGCAGGCTGTGCAGTGTGCTCCAGGTTCCCAGCTCGGGTGAGCCTTGGTGATGCAGCTGTCTTTGAGTCATTTCTGCTCCTGTGAGTAACCCCTCACCCATACTCCTGTAACCCCAATAAAATTCATCGGTTCATCAAACTAAACTTTGGTAGTAACTGTAATTTGATCTCACTATCTGAGGTGAGTGGATATATGGGTTGCGTCTCCCTAGGAAAAGTTTTGTCACACAACCATTGGGGCCAAGTAATTCTGGGATAAATGATTCTTGGTTCTTGACTGACAGCCCTCCCCTACCTCAAGTGGAGATTCTATCTATGTGTATAACTACAGATCTCTAATATAAGCTGTATTATTAGTCAAGCACAGGTAAGCAGCTCCCAAGTCTTAAACCTCACCATGTATTGGCCCATACCAAAACAAAGACCGAGAGGCCCATGCTGTGAGAAAGGGGGAGAAAGCAAAGCAGGTTTGGCTGCACACTAATGAAATCGCTGTGAAAGTGACACATACAAAGGGAAGCCCTAGAGGCACCTGGGAAAGGGGATGCAAATTCAATCAATCATGGAGCAAATAAGTCCTTTGCTGGGGACAACTATTAGAATATTTTAAAAAGTAGATTAAAATGCCCTCCTCCAGCATCTGACTCTACTACTAACTAAAGCACACAGTTATTTAAATAAAGATGCTAGTGGTGTCGGAGAGTTGGGAGTGCTCAGACAGAGGCAAGTTCAAGGCCAGCCAGGTCTACAGAATGAGTTCAGGACCAACACAGCTACATAGCTACATCTTCTCTTCCAAAAACAAAGCAAAACAAAAAAATAAACAACAAAAACAAACAAAAAAGTCATCAGAGTTACATCAAATACCCTAAAACATAAGAAACAATCAATACTTACATTGACCAATCCGAAGTAGTGTTCATTGATCGGAAACTGCTCTGGTCCAATGTCTTTTTCCAGAGCAGAGGCATTGGTGCCCTACAAGAAAACATAATGACAGTTCTGTGGCAGGAAAAGAGATGAGGAAGTGGGGTGACAGGAGCTGGTCCACTCCTGAAACAAGCATCCCTTGTTAGCAGCGTATGCCGGATGTGCGACACTACAAGTAAACCTGGGAACTCAGTAGTGAAGCTTTCACTGAATTCCTTACCCGGTGTACTTGTGGCCCCAGACCCTGAGCTTTCCCTTAGGAAAGGATATTTGAGATAGATACACAAATAACAAGCTGATCTTCTGACTAAAACACTCCAGACGGCTGCGGAAACAGAGGGCCTGGAAGATGGGACCATTTTCAACGTCAGTTATCTTCATTCTGCTGAGGCGCTCCCACACACCTGCTCAGCCAGGCACTAATCTCTAGGTCCAGGCATTAATGAGAATGGTGAAGAGACAGACATCCATGCCAGCTCTCATGGGGTTCCCATTTTCGTACATGAAGATGGCCTGAAGCCCAAAGAAGGCCTATCAGACAATACACTGGGAGCTGGTGAGCACGGCGAAGGAGAATAAGCTCAGAGATGGGCTGGGGCCGGCGGGGATGCTACGGCTGAGAAGCCTGTAAGCGTAAAGGCTACACACCTGCACCATTAAGTAGAGAACTGAGGGAAGGAGAAGGCTCTGTGTCCAGACAATGTTGCAGATAATGGAAGGATCCAGTGTGAGTCCTGACAGCTGTCGGATGCATCGGATTGCTAAGCCTGGAAGGATCCAGTGCGAGTCCTGACGGCTGTCGGATGCATCGGATTGCTAAGCCTTGTGATACTGCACCATGGCACTAACGGCTCCTGTGCCGTCTGTGCCAGGGACTCTGCAGTTTATCCTCACGACGCTCATAAGAACTAGACTATGTGTGATGGCTATTCCCAGTTGTCTACATCCGGAAGTAACTTAAAACCCAAGAAGCTGGGTATACCTGTGAGGGATTTTTCATAATTCATCTGCAATGGGAAGACCCATTCTAATCCAGATCTTTAGAGGTGGGAAGACCCACCTTTAATCTGGGCCACACCTGCTGGCAGCCAATCTAAGGAACATGGAAGAAAGAATCTTGCTTTCTTTGCCCGCTTGTTCTCGCTCTCGCTGGCAAGTGTGATCCTTCACTGGCAGTAGAGCCTACTGCTTCCGGATTCTAGCTGAAGGCCAGCTGAGGTATGTATAAGGCCTCATGAACTGAACATCTCCTAGATTTTCGGGTCTTCAATTGGGAGACAGCCATTATTGAACCAGCTAGACCACAGCCTGTAACCAACCCCCAAAGGCTGAACTCAGGGATCAGTTTCAATCTTATCCAAATGTTGCACAAAGCCTATCCATCAAAACAGTGATGAAGCTCCCACCTGGGGCCAGCCACTGGTGATGGATGGTCATTTCTCCCTAAGATCTGAATGAGCTAACCATAAGGGGAAAAATAGTTCACTCTAGTCAAGTATACAGTCATCACTGACCACAGGGAACAGGTTCCAGATCCCTGGAAAGACACTCAGTTCCCTTACATGAATGGTATAGTAGTTGCTTATAACCTACGCATACCCTCCTCTATGCTTTACATCTTTCCTGCATTATTTATTATACCCAATATAATAAAAACACTAAGTAAACTGTTGGTACACTGTATAGTTTACGGAATAAAGACAAAGTCTGAGTGCTCAGTACGGATGAACTGTTTCTGATCTGTATTGGGCTGCTCTGTGCATACAGAGCCCATACATGCAGGGGGAGTGGTGGATAGATCAGAGCCCTTTGCTGATGCTGTTCCCTGACCATCTGCAGCCTTCTAATTCTCAGGCTATTACAGAAGACTCATAGCTCACAGAGACACAAGGATTTGGGACACAGAGAACAGAAAGCTAAGCATTTTATATTTAGAAAGTAATACTACTGGGCCTGGGGGTGAGGGATGATTCACTGAGTTAAGAGTGTATACTGCTTTTCCAGAAGACCTGAGTTTGATCCTCTGGCACCTAAGTCACAAGGCTCCCAGCAGCCTATAACTCCAGCTCCTGGGGACCTGGTGCCCTCTTGATTCCGCAGACACCTGCACACATATATACAGGCGGGCAGGCAGATACACAAACACACACATACGGGGGAGGGGGAAGGGAGGGAGAGGGGGAGGGAACAGAATAAAACTTTAAGAGATTTCTAATGCTGCATTTCTTTTATTTATTCTTTATGTGTATGAATGTTTTGCCTGCATGTGTATAAGTCTGCTCTGTGCCCACCTGCTACCAGAAGAAGGTATCAGATTCCCCAGGACTGGAGTTACAAACCGTTGTGAGCCACCACACTGGTGCTGGGCCAATCCCATATCGTCCACAAGAGCAACAGATGCTCTTAACCATTAAGCTATCTCTTTATCCCCCCCCCAATGCCGTATAATCTTAATTCATATAACAATCACCCCCTCCTTGAGAAAGGCATGGCCATGAAGTAGACTGGGAACCAGTCAAAATGGTTACTTGCCACAAAGCACACATTAAGTAGAAAATAACTCGAATCCAAGCTGTCGTTTTTTATAAAAATAGAGAGAGAAGAAATATGTTTGGTGGATGTGCAATCAGGTGTGGGGAAAGAGGGTGATGCTGCAGGCCCATGCTGAGGCATCGCTTCCCCTTAAAGACCAGTCACACAAAGGTATAGTACAGAATAGTTTATTCAGGACATGGGGAGGTAAGATGAGAGGGTAGTAGAGACAGAGAAAGGTGGGGGGGGAGAAGTAGAGGCTAGCCATGAACACATGGAGAGAGACAGGGGAAGGGAATGGGGAGAGAGGGAGAGCAAGAGGACTGCTTTGTAAGAGCAAGAGGGTGGGGGGGCAAGCAGCCCCTTCTGTAGTGAGTCAAGCATACCTAGCTGTTGCCAGGTAACTGTGGGGCGGAGCCTAAATGCCAACACAAGTGACCAGAACAGCAGGAAGACAGGCTCTTTCCCCCAACTCTCAGTTACCATGTGATGTCTCACTCTTTCTGCTCTGTCACCAGTCTAGACTCCTTTACCCTCCACCCATCCGAGAGAAGACCCAATGCTCAGATGGGAGCTAGTTTCAGAACCCTTTCTTCAGTGTTGTGAAAAACCATTGTCTCCACAATAACATGGCTTTACTACAGCTGACCTTTTAAAATAATGGATCAAATTATGGCAGGATTTTATGGCACAGACGAAGAACACTAACATTTTTATAATGTTGTTTCTAAATCATAAACTAATGTAAATGATGGGTATTAAGTGGACCTACATCCATTTTTTTCAAGCAAAATTAGAATATTTGCCAGCGAGAGCAGGATCTACAGAAGATCGGACGTAACAGTGGACCAGATCTCATTAGATCTTTCTGTATGAATAAAGGCATGTAGAGAAGTTGGCACATGGTTTCTGCTATTTAATTCTTTGACCGGGTATGGTCTCGCCTTTGCCATTTCTGGAAAGGAAGCCTGGAAGGGAGGGTGGAAATTGGTACTAAGGACAGAGTGACCCTGCAGTCACACAGTAGCCACTGCACAGATGGAAGGATCACCACACACATGGGGCAGGTGAGGATTCTGTAGCTGGTGAGACCAGGCTCTTCCCTGATATCAACACCTCCGGACGGCTCCTCAGTTCAAACTTGCTCACTTTGATCCTACACATGAGATCGTGAAGGGGCCGGGAGGAGAAGCTGCCTGGGGCTCTACAACTTCACTCATTTGTCCAAACACTCTTCTTTGGGAAGTTGGCAGCCAAAGTCCTTTTCTCCTCAGTGGCCCCAAGGCATAGAGGACTCACCCATAGGTCTCGGGTTTTGCCATTATCCTGGGTGGTCTCAGCATCCATGTGGAGAAGCCGCATGGCAGAGTTGCTCTCCCTGTTACACCCTCCTTTCTCGCTACCTTGTATTCCACTGTATTCGACTCCAGCCACCCACTCGCCACCCAAGCTCAGCTCCGCCCACTCTTTCTTGAAGTCTCCCATCATGGAGATACCTACACCATGCTAAAATTGTACTGCTTTAGATAACAAGGAGTCACCCACAGGCTAATGCATTGGAGTCTGGGTCCCCAGGTGGTGGCACTCTGTAGGCTGGGACACTGTTTAGTTCTGGAACGTTAGGAGGTGGGGTCTAGTTGGAGAAGCCAGGTAACTGAGAGCACATCCTTAAGGGACTGCATCTTGTCCTGGACATTCTCTGCATCCCCTTTTTCTCCATTTTCTGGCAGCCACAGTGTGAACTGTTCTGCTCAGCCACACCCACGTTCTAACACCGCTGAAGCTATGATCCAAAACAAGTAACTCCATCTTTTGAATTGTTCTTAGGTAACTTGAGTATCGTGATGAAGAGGTAACTCATCCACTCTTCTGCTTTCTTATTTATCATAGACTATACAGGCCATGATTCAATTACCCTTCCATTCCATTAACCTGCCCGTTGGACTTCCCATCCAGCAAAGTAGGAACCCATTATGAACCAAATTCTCCATTTTTTTCTGAATATACACCCAGGCAAGCATGCAGGGAAAGAGAGGTCAGACGACCATATTAACTAGGTTCACTCAAATTCACCCAGTCTGGAGGCCTTACAAACAGCATTCAAGCTGGGTATGGTGACTCACACCTTTAGTCCCAACACTCAGGAGGCGGAGGCAGAGGCACGCAGGCAGAGCTCTGTGAGTTTGGTGTCAGTGTGGTCTACAGAGTGAGTTTCAGACAGCTACCCTGGCTCAAATGAATAGATAGATAGATAGATAGATAGATAGATAGATAGATAGATAGATGGATGGATGGATAACAAAGATACTGCATTCCAACATCATAGAGTGAAATGGCTCCTCACTCCACAGTGACTGTTTCCAAATTTCTTGAGCCTCTAAGACATTAGCATCCCCTTTCTAGCTTAATAGGAAAAAAAATGCACCAGAAATCAAAGACTCCTTAATTGGCTGCTCAGAAGCCTGTGTGTCTCTCTGTTGTAAACAATGCCGATGCTTCCATGATTGAAGTGTCCG